CTCTCTCTCTCTCTCTCTCTGTCTGTCTCTCTCTCTCCCTCTCTCTCTCCCCCTCTCCCCATTTGTGGACATTTCGCTGCCTTTGATGCCCTGCCCCACAGTAGTTGTTCAGTTGAATGAGGGTAGCTGGAGGATGCTCAGGAAGTGAGCACTTGGTCCCATGTCTCTCACCGCCCCTGCTCTGAAAAGTCTGGAACCCGGAAGCTCCCCGCCACCCTCAGGTCCAGAGTCCCTCGAGAGCTGGTTATTCCAAGGCTGGGTGCTCTTCTTCTCCACTCTTGGCCTAGGGTGACCACTGCGGAGGAGCAGCGGAAGGACTGCAGGGAAGTGGCGAAAACGGAGACACCTTTTCTCCTTTGTCACTTTATTTGGTGAAGCGTGCAGTAGCAGCACAGCGTCCTGCCAGTAGGCAGCTTGGAGAAGGTGCAGCCATCCCAGAGCCTGCATCCCGCTAGCAGAAAGGAAGCTTTAAGGGTTTTATGGTGTTGCCAAGAGTGAGCTGAGGAGGGGGGTGGTGAGGAGGTTTGGGACATATTTTCTTCATTCATTTATAATTTTAAAGACCTCTTAGAAACCACCAGCTACATTAGATGCGGGTCTATGATTAGGAAGTGCCATTAGCAACGGGTTTCATTTGTCCGGGAGCTGAGTGAGGCCTGCTAAACACCTCCCTACCCCCACCGTCCCCTGAATCCTCAGTAGTTTTACGGGAGTCCTTTACCAATGTTCAGAGCAAGACTGGGTCACTCTCGACTACCTTCTTGCAGCATCCCGTATGTCTCTTATGAAATCCAAATTTTTGCCGCTAGACCTGAAATTTGCTCCATTGTTCTCGCCTCCCTCCTTTGTTAATATTTAATTAACATATAAGCTCACAAAGCCGACTGGCCTTGAGTCGCGGTCGGCTTTGTGCAGCGCCCGCGCGCAAGTCCCGGCTGCACCAAGCCCTGGCGGCCTGCGGATCCTGCAGCATGGCCCGCGTGGCCCATCTCGCAGCTTTCTTAGGCTTAACGAACCCCCTTCCTGTAAGTAATATTTCTTTTCTGGGTGTTTGAGAAAGAAAGGAGGGGCAGAGGATACTTGCCGAGGTTTAGTTCTGTTTCCCTGAGCCCCCTAAGTGTTTGCCTTTTAGAAGAGAATTCACAGAAAGAGGAACTGAAACTATTGTTTTTAAGGAGACGTTCTTTCTCCGAAATAAGCATTATCTGAATCCGGAGTGTGTGTTAAAGAACACGGACCCCGGGGTGGAGGAGGCTGGAACATAGAGATCTCGTTCTTCCCGGGGAGGGGACGAGGGGAGTCTGAGATCCGCTCCAGGAGTGGGAGGTAGGGCTGAGTAGGCCAGGCCTCTTCCATGTCCAGCCTCCTGTCCTAGCATCTTTGCGGGTTCCAGGGTCGTTCCATGGCCCTCGAAGCCTCAGCGAAAGCTAGGTCCAAGGGCGCCGAGCCTGTGCTCCTTGCCCTCAGCATGGGTGCGAAGGTGACTGTGTGGCATGGCGGGTGTGTGTGGCCACGGGTACACCCAAAACACCAGGAGTCTGCACCGCTCTGAGTCTGCACCGCTCTGGATCTCCTCTGGTGCACACAGACCCTTTTGGGGGTTTGCCCTCTGATGAGAGCACTCAGATCCCATTTTGCTGGAGGTGAGAGTCCTCTCCCGCCCTGGCTCCAGTCGGCTGCCCCTGACGGCTCTAGGCAACCGGTGGAGGAGTTAGGTACCACACAGCCGGTTCCCTCCGCCACCCCCACAGCGCAGGACAGAACAACCAGTTCCTAGCCATAAAGGGGGAGGGTCTGACCCTCTCCAGCCTCTTCCGCTTCCAGCGGAAGGGGCCTCAATGGAAGGATGGCAAAGTTGCTTCATACTCCTTGCATAGGGAAAGACCCAGGAAGGTCTCTGCTTATGGCCGGTCGTCCGGCTGGCCTTTCCAGCACCCTGTGAACCTTCTGACCCCGACAAAGAGAACCCTCTAACCCAACACTCTTAACACGTTACCCTTTCTCTAGGAATGGGGCCCTACCACCCGCCTCACCTACACTTGCCTCAAACGCTGGCAACTCCATAGGAAGAAGGGGGTGGGGCCCCAGTGGAAACCTTTGTGAGGAAGCTGTTAGGAGGGTCACTTTACAGACTTGCCCAAGGTCAGCTGGGTGACCTGCTTCCGCTGAAGCAGCCCCAGGGTTGGGGTGGAGGTACAAGCCACCGTGGTCAGCACCTGGGCAGGAACCAGGCCTCTCCGCTGGACAGGACTCAAGAGAGAGATCCCAGAGGCGCCGTAGAGGTGTTCCATTGGAGTCCTTCAAGGAAACAGTGAACTTGGACTCACCAGGCCACACAGGAGGGGACTCAGTTATGGCCCAGTCCTGAGCCCTCCTTGTTGGAGGTTATGTAGGAAGGGGGACAGGATTCCCTCTCACTGACCCTATCTCCTTTCTCCTCTCAACTACACCATGCTCTTTGCTGGAAAGAGGACTTTGTGTGGAAAGTCTTGGAAAGGGATGGGGGAAAAAAACAAACAGGGCCAGAAAGTTTTTGGTTGGGCATTCCTTCTTTAGTTAGCTTTTATGAGGATTCCCTAGATTGCTATAGGCCTTTTAGCTAAATTTGCCAATCCACCTCATTTCTGGTCCCCCCTACCCCACTCACACCCAACGCGGTTCGCCCCTGGTGGCCTTGGACGAGTCATTTTTTTCTCCGGATTCTCTGGAACCTCTCAAACTTGGGTGACTGGTAAACAGATAGGCTCCAGCAGTTAGTAACCTCTGCCCTCTCTCCTACAGGTCCCAGGTCCCGAAAACCAAAGAAGAAGAACCCGAACAAAGAAGACAAGAGGCCACGCACCGCCTTCACTGCTGAGCAGCTGCAGAGGCTCAAGGCCGAGTTTCAGACCAACAGGTACCTGACAGAGCAGCGGCGCCAAAGTCTGGCGCAGGAGCTCAGCCTCAACGAGTCTCAGATCAAGATCTGGTTCCAGAACAAGCGGGCCAAAATCAAGAAAGCCACGGGCAACAAGAACACTCTGGCGGTGCACCTCATGGCGCAGGGCCTGTACAACCACTCCACCACGGCCAAGGAGGGCAAGTCGGACAGCGAGTAGGGCGCGCAGGGCGGGCAGGCCGGCCAGGTCTAGGGCCTCGCGAAACAATGCAATAATTTAAAAACCGTGAACAAAGGGCCAGTGTATAAAGATTATACCAGCATTATCTGTGAAAATCCCGTGTATTAGCTATGGTTCTACAATAATCTATGTACATATAATTTACAGGTGGTGTAAAATCCAAAATATCTGACTATAAAATATTTTTTGAGTTTTTTTTTGCGTTTAAGAGGTTATGCTAATTTTATGTTATTGTTATTCTTTCTGCAAAGGGGGCTGGTTAGGGTTTCAGCATTTTCTTCTTTTTCTTTTTTAATTCCCTGAGTTCTATTATGGGACATCGGATTCCACCTCCCCCCTTTTTTTTTTCAAAAGAAAAAAATTAAAACAACTTGCTAAAGTCCAAAGAATTTTTATTGCTGCATTTCACAGGACTGTGAACCGAATAAATAGCTCCTATTTGGTCTGTGGGCTCTGCCGATTGCTTTGTGCTGGCTTGGCGAGGGCTGTAGGAAGTGCCAGTGTGGGGACTTCAGTGGGGAGGGGAGGGTGCAATTCTTTGGCTGAGATCCTAGGAAGTCCACAGCTCTCCAGGCTGCCTGCCTTGTACTGCCTCTCCTCCCAACCACCTCAGAGGCCTGTGTCGCTGACCCCTGTCCAGCCATAGCCCCATGGCGACCTGCCAGCGCCAGCTCTCCCGCCTTGAACACTGTAGGTAGCGCTTGGGGTCTAGGAAGAAGGGGAAGTGTGACTTGCAGGCTTGCAGGCTTCCTGCTGAGCTTCAGGGACAGCTAGCCCTGACCCAAAAGCCCCACTGAGGTCAGCTTTCGGGCCGGCAGAGCGAGTTGGTATGTCTTCCTTTCCCTTTTCCTTGTTTCTTCTTTTTCACTTATTTTTGAGTGGTAAATTCATGTATGTGTACATACTCGTGTGTGCATGCGCATGCACACCCCAGGCCTGTGTGAAGCTGGGGTTCTGGAGCTTGAAGCTACCTTGACTTTCAAAGGAACTCGGAACCCTCCTGAATCTAGAGGAAGCGTGTAAATAATCATTTCTTACCACTTTTTGTCTTTTTGTTTTTTTAAGAAAATATACATTTTATTTTTTGAAGGTGTGGTACTGTGTAAATTAAATATATTCAATATATCCCTCACCAAGTACATATATATATATATATATATAAGCAAACACATTATATATAACTCCACACTGTCTTCTGTTTAGTGTATGGGAAAAGGTGTCCAAATGTCCACCTGAGGCCAGCACAGTGGCCCAGGGGTATTCTCGGCTGAGCTGGTTGTCAAGCTGCCTGCTGAGGACTGACGGTGGATCTCTCTCTTGCCTTAAACCTCTTTATTTCACTGCGCCAATACTTTCACTTTGTACATATTAGTGCCAACCTTCTGAAAAGGAAGCTATAAAAACAAAAGTTGTAATTTAAAAGTCTGTGAACAACCATCTGCTGCTTGGGAATCAGTGAAACAACATGCCTTTTAGCAGGAAGCAAATCTGTCCTTTTTTAAGTTTATAAAATGTGCATTTTACCTTATCAAATATTTATAATCTTATGAGAAATGAATGAATGTTCCCTACTTACAACTGTGGTTATCAAACTTGTGAACATTCCTGCCTGTGCATTTTCGTGTGTTTAAATTCTTGAAAGTTACATTAAATAAAAAAGAAACAACTCTTTATTATAAAATGCTAGTGGCAGAAGGTGGACTTTTTCCCTGTCTGTGTCTGAGCCCAGGAACCACCCTGAGGTGGTCTCCCCAGCACCCAGGTGCTGCACTACCCTTGGGACAAGAGGAGATAGTTTCTTTTAAATATTGACCTAGGGATATCTAGCATGAAAGCACAGAACAGAGAAGTAGTTTCTGTCCCCATATAGTCTCCAGGAAGAGTGAACCAAAGCACTGCTTCCACTCACTGGAGTTTCTCCATGTATGAGAATCTAACTAATAGGTCTCCCCCACCCCTCCCCACTGTATGCATGCTGGCTGCAAGTGGGCTGGGTGGAAGAACTTGTGGTCCTCCAGAGATGGCCTTTCCCTAAATGCAACTTTTGTTTCCCTCACTTTCACCCCACAAAGCAACGGACATCTGCTGGATTCTGGGGAAGGGATGGCTCTGAAGTGGCTGGCTCTGAGGCAGGGTGTTTTGTAGTTCATGAAGCCAAACTGCTGTGTTCTCAAACTTTCTTGGCTTGAAAGAAAGTTGTTTTGTTTTGCTTGTATTCCCAGGAAGAGAAACCCAGTGTCAAGGATTGTTTGTTGCCAAGGGCTACCTTCTAGGCAATTTCAGTACAACTCTGGCCACTGGGCCATCAGGAATTCCCAGGCCGATGCTGGACCACAGCTCCTGCCACTCGGGACCCTCAAGGAATAGGGTGGGGTCCACTGCAAAGGGGCACCAAAAGCCCCCATGCCACTCCCCAGGAGAATTCCAGGGTCCCCATTTTCTACATACTCCTAGCGTTTAGCTTTAAAACACTGGCACAATTTACATTAATCTGTTGGCCTCCCTTCATTTTAATAAAAGCATATCAGCATCGGTCCATTTTCAAATCATAACACCGGTAGGAGGAGGGTGTACAGCTTTGAGGGGGTAATGAGCTCCCAGGTCCCACAGGCAGCCAAGCAGACACTAGCGAGCCAATAATGCCAGATTTTTGGATTTTTAAACTTTGTTTTATTTGTGATAGGAGACTGAACTGGAAGGGCCTTCAGTTCCTTCGGTTACTACCTGCTCTTTCGATTCCTTCCTTCCTTCCTTCCTTCCTTCCTTCCTTCCTTTCTTTTTTCTTCAAATTCAAGTTACCAGAGCCTGTGACTCATGCGGAACCCCAACCCTGCCAGCCTCACTCTCCCACCTGGGGCAAGCAGAAAAAAGAAACAAAAAGCAAAACAGTTCCTACCGGCTGGGAGTGCAGGGCACCTTTGTAGGTATTGCAGATCCCCAGGTTCTGACCCGGCCTCTGCAGTGCTGTGTGCTTTGGAGATGGACTGGGAATGAAGACTCCAGAGCATTAAGGAGCCCAGCCCCTGGACTCTGGCTAGGTCACTCTGCAGGAGGCAGGAATCCCAAGTAGGACAGGAAAGTTCCGTTTGTGAAGAAATCCTTGCTTTTTACATCTCACTCACTCTCCTGCCCTGGGCCTTGGTATGCCTCTCTACATTTCTCTACAACCCACTGAAATGAAGGGAGAGTGGGGCAATCCAACTCAGAGAGAGCTGTGACCTGCAGGCCGCATGGGGGGTCAGGGGCAGCAACGGTGCTGAAAAGACCAGCCTGACACTCTCATATCAGGCGCTCTTCCTGACGTGGTTCTGGGGGCCTACACTATCGTTAGAAACTAGGGGTCACCTCTGCCTAAAAGCTGTCCAGTGTGGAGCTGGCTTCAAATGCCTTTTAAGGAGGGGGAGGAAGGAGACTCCCAGGTGTCTCCCAGCTTGATCTCACAAAGAGTTCCAGTTCTGTGGGGTTTTGTTTTTGTTTTTTTCCTTGAGTGGGCAGGACAAATGTAGGGGGACTCTGGCGGCTTGACACTGGTATAACTGACGCCCATAACAAATGCCGAGACTCCAACACACCTATGTATGCAGCAAACGTTCCTGTCAGCCTCCGAGCTCAGGCTGGAAGGCAGAGTTTTTGGCAGGCCTCTGCTAAAAACCATTCTGTCCCCTGCTGGTTTAATATCCGACCTTTGCGCTCTCCTTTTGCCTGGGCCCTTTCCCTAGAGTCCCCAGGAGATTCCCGGCTCCATCGAAAACTACAGCCTGCCAGGGGGAGCCACCTCACACTGAGAGGTTAATAAGGACTGGCTAAGACACAGGCCATGGCACCACCCCTGAAGGCATGGACCGCGCTAGTGCGACAGAAATCACACTCCCAAGACCGATCCACCCCACCCCTGAGCTCCCCACACAGGCCTCGGGACTGGGAACACCCCTTCTTTGCGCCTTGGTTCCATCCCTGCGGAGGGCCAGTTATATCTAGGCCTAGAAGTAGGGGAGGTAGGGAGCCACAGAGGGGTGCACCGTTGGGTTCCTAGGACTCTAGGGCGCATTTGCAAGCAAAGCCCTAATGCCTCACAGTTGCAGGGCTGGAACCCTGAGTAGACCATGCCTGTTTTTATTAATAACCTCAAATACCTCATTATGCTTATGCTGCCTGCCCATGGAAAAGAAAAGGGCATTCTTGAAATCGCCGGAAATGTAATAATATTCATTAAAGTCGTTCCTAATTATATGATTTAATCAAGCGTGGTGGGCCTGCGCTTTGCTCAGAAAACTCGAGGATGGTGTTACCGTTCGTTGTTGGTGATAGTATGGCCTGGTCCAGTCAGTAAGACTTCAGCTGAGGCTCAGTCCGTGGATGGATTTAGGGGCACCCTCTGGGGGAAGGGTTCCCCTGGAAAGATTGCCTAGTTGTGAGTATGGGGTAAGGTTCAGGCCTAGTCCCAAGCAAGGCCTAAGTTAACTCCTGGAGCAGGGCAGGATTTCTTCTGGCCCTAGGGACCATCTGTGTTACCCGAGGAACACCAGGGAGGTTTTCTGGGAAAGGAGAACTTCGGGTCCCGCCCCCTCCAGCGCTGAGTCCTATGCAGCGCCTGGAGCAAAAACAAAGAATGGTGGAGAGAGATTTGCCTCCCGGCTGCCTTTTTACCCCCTCAGCCTGGAAGGCGTCCCAGAGAGCCTTTTCCCCTTGTCCCCACCCCCAAGACACAGAGCAACGAGGAGCCAAAGGCCCAGTGGGCTTGAGGGGCTGCCGTGCTCTGCCTCACTTGTTCTTTAGAGAGGGGGTTAGATGGGCAGCTCAGGCGGGAAGGGCCAGGTCACACCCCGCCTCTGGTCCTCTGTGGGGCTAGGAATGGTGGCCTTGTTTTGGTCACTGTTTGCAGGACGGTCTGGGGGGTGGGGGAAACCAGGCCAGGCTGCTGCTTGCTGTTGCTCGTCTGTCCAGACGTGAAACTTGGCCGCGTGGTCCCAGCGCGCTGC